GCTGAGAGGCACTTGAGAAAGTGCTCAACATCCTTAGCCATCCGGGAAATGCAAATCAAAGCAACTCTCAGATACCATCTCACTCCTGTCAGAATGGCTAAAATCAAAAACACCAATGACAATTTATGCTGGAGAGGATGTGGTGAAAGGGGACACTCCTCCATTGCTGGTGGGAGTGCCAACTGGTTCAGCCACTTTGGAAAGCAGTATGGAGATTCCTCAGAAAAATGGGAATAAACCTACCACAAGACCCAGCAACTGCACTCTTAGGCATATATCCAAAAGATGCCCATTCATATAACAAAGATGTCTGTTCCACTATGTTCATAGCAGCTTTATTTGTAATAGCCAGAACTTGGAAGCAACCTAGATGTCCCTCACCCGAAGAATGGATAGAGAAAATGTGGTACATCTACACAATGGAGTACTATTCAGCAGAAAAAAATAATGGAATCATGAGATTCGCAGGCAAATGGATGACACTAGAAGAAACCATCCTGAGTGAGGTAACCCAGTCACAAAAAGAGAAACATGGCATGTACACTCTCATATATGGATTTTAGACATAGATCTGGGGAGTGCCAGCCTACAATCCTATGGCCAGAGAGTCTGGGAAACAGAAACTTCATTTACTGGCTGGTTAAGTACTGAGCTGAACTCAAGAAAGCCAGTATCAGAGAGGGAGGACTGATGATCAAAGGGATTAAGACTGGGCTGGTTGAACCCCCAGAAACAGCTGACCAGACAAAGGTTAACTCTTGAATCCCAGGCATCAGCCTGGGAATCCAGCATGGGACTGATCAAGACCCCCTGAATCTGGGTGTCAGTGAGGAGGCCTAGGTAATCTATTGAGCCTTGGACAGCAGATCAGCACCCATCCCAAGTATACACACGGTCTCTGGACTCCCATAGAACAATGTGAGGTGCACTCTCACCCTGAACTCTTGGGGAAGGGTCTAGGCCCTGCCCTATATGAAATGACAGACTATGGACACCCCCATGGAGGGCCTCACCCTCCCTGGGGGAATGAGGGGATAACGGGGGGGGATGGGGGAGGGCACGGGAGGAGGGGAGGGAAAGGGAGAGGGACTTGTGAAGCAACCTTGTTTCTTATCTAAATTTAAAATGGAAAATAAAAAAAATATTAATAAAAAAAAAACATGACTTTCATGTCTCTGTGAAATGCCATTGACTTTGTGAAGTGCGGCCAGCTTGACCCAGGACCCTAGTTTCAGTCCCCTCCTCCTAAGACAGTAAAGAGATTTACATGAGAGACAGGCCTGGAGTATGGATGTCCATGTTCTTACTTTAGCCACAGAGGAAATTTCAGATTCACTTTTAGTCAGAGCACACTGAATTGCTTAAAATGTAAAAGATTTAAAATATCGATGTTAATGAAACAGAAACACAGGCAATTGGAGATTATTTTTTAAGTCAAAGAAAAAGCCCATTTCTTGTGGAGGGATACTATTGCAGGCCAGATACACGAAAGAGGGCCTAGGACTTCCAACAAATAATGTGGCAGATTTTGATAGCCACCCATAGAGGACCTCACTATCTTTAGGATGTGGGTGGGGTGAGTTGGATCTCGGTAGGGGGTTGGGAGGATAGGAGGGCAAGGGAATGGGAGGATTGATACATAAAATAAGATTGTTTCTAAAATAAAATTCATAAAGTGGAAAAACAAGAAAAAGGTCTCGAACTTCATTAAACTATTTAAATAGAATATGTCCATGGGCACTTTGGGGAAGGCCAGGGCCCTTCCCGGAATGAAATGACAGACTCTAGAGATCCCCCATGGAGGGCCTCACCCTCCCTGGGGACTGGAGTGGGGATTAGATGAGGGGGGGTAATGGAGCAGGAGTGGGAGCTGGGACTGACATGGGAAGCAAGCTTGCTTCTAATTTAAATATATAATTAAAAGTGTAAAAAAAAGAATATGTCCATGGTAAACAAAATATTATACTTAATTCAACCTGGGGTAGAAACCACTGCCTTATAATACTTTCTGACATTTAGAAATAATTTAATTAATATCATCTAAGTAATAATACTTCTAACAAAAACTCCCCATGATAAATCATAAGCATTTTATATTATATATGTCAGATGTGATACTTCACATAAGTTTGAATTACGATAATGAACTTTGACTACTTAGTGGTTCTGTATGATTTTATTGTCTAATTCATCTGTCTCAGTGACTGATAGGAATTCAGGCCACAAATTTTCCAGTGATATTTCTATATAAATATCTATTGAAGTACATACAAAAAACCATTTTAAATTAACTGAATGCATACTTGATACTCATTCAGTAGTATACAACACATCACATGCTGTCCCTAAAATGGATTTCTTCACACTGAAGTGAGATTCTAGGTCTCTCTGTGAACTTCCCATATCAACTGTACAGGGATTAGCTGAATCATTGCCTCATGGACAGACATTAGTTTTTAAGTTCCATATTTATGTAGGAAAACCTGAAAAGTGAGAATAATAAATTGACATTTAAAAGGACCTATAAGTTGGTTAGGAAATATTAAACCACATAAAGTAGAATTAGCTAAAGGAGTACACCCACTTGTCTTGTCAGAAAGATCACAATTCTCCAGGAAGACATGCTAAACTTGATTGACAGCTGCCTGTTCAAAGCAGTCCTGGTCTGTCTCCACAGCACTATGACAATAGTATACATTGAAAATCTCCCCATTTGTTCAAACTAAAAAATTTGAAAGTTTCATCTCCTTAAAACAAGGTTAATTACTCACAACCCAACTCGGAGCTATGAAGCTATAAAAGCAAACATAGTTTCTACCCTGTCTGCCTTCCTCTTGTCCATGAGCCAAAACAGGCATGCACTATTAGCAAAATAATTTCCCTCATTAGTCTTTAAGTAGTAGAATAGTTTTACCTGAACATATTGTTAATTCTGTCACAAAATTACTTAGATCATCCAAAAGCTCGTCTGACTTCTGCTACTCATACCAGTAGCTTTAGTTACCTTATAAAAATATGTTAAGAGCCAGACTTGCAGCAATAGATGCCTGTGTTTTTTAACATTCAACATCTGATTGTTCCAATAAAAAAGTCACATGGATACTCTGACCATTTTTCTGTTTTACACTATAAACTATTATATTTATGATATTATCACATGTAAGTATCATCCAATCTGTATAATGATTTTCACACTTTTCCCATTAAAGAAATCCTCCTAAAATGAGCCTTCAAAAATGGTGAAATCTACCAAGTTATACTTCTTCCAATATACTATAATATGAGATGCATTCACATGTAGAATACATTTCTATTTGTATTCAATGGTGAAGACAGTGGCTGGGAATCAATGAATTGAGAGAACATTTATGTTTTTTCCATTGCCACATGCTCATATAAACCAAGGATAACAACCCTTCTCCATTTGCAAAATGAAAAAATGTGCATTGTGTTTATTTGTTCAAATTTTAAATACTATAACTATAGAAAATGAGTTTATTGGATAGTATTTCTAAAGGCTCTGGACAATAGAATTATGTGAAACTCTAAGGTGTGTCTTCACACAATGCACAAAATTGACCTTCCATTTAGCTTATGCCTCTACATTCTTTTACATTCAGGGCTGAATATGTACAATTGCTATTGAATATTCTGAAAATGTGGCTCTTAAATTCCACAGATGACCCAAGCAGTCAATAACATGAAATCAAACACCAAAAAAATTATCTGGATCAATTTCTAGGTCATATTCCTGAATAAAATGAAAAGGTGCAGGCAACCAAAGAATGGAAGTCAGTGTATTGAGAGGACAAATGGGTGATTTAATCTTTAAAATATGTATTGTTCCTTTCACATGTGTGACAATGACTGTTTAGACCCTATGAGTCCAAAAACTGAAAGTAAGGGGAAATAGATGATATCAATATATTTTAAAAACATATATAAGGAGTAAACTACAAAAAGTAATTAGGAAACTTGGTCATATGATAGTTATTGTGTCTTAGAATTAATAATAACATGTCCTAGTTCACATAAATAAAGCAGAGAAAAAATAATTCAAAACAACTGTGTCATTCTTAGTAACATTTCTTCTGTCTATTTCACCTCTTCTAATCGCCTATATACCTCACCACACATTACTTCACATTCATAGCTTCTGTATCCATTCATTGCTATTTCATTGACATATGTATACTTTCATGGATTAATAATCATATAGTTTTAAGGTGAGACACAAACGTCTTAATAGCACATATCTATTTAAGCTCTCATGCTTTCAAACTGCAGATAATATAGGGACCTGATCTCATTTTCTCATTGAAACTTACTGGCTGAGCCTCAGAGTGATGGAAGATACTGACAACAACAAAAATATCTGAAAAATAGAACTCAGTCTTTGTAGATCTATAAATCAGGCACTTCAGAAGATTAAAACAAATATGGATCAAGGAAACTAGAAAAGCCTGATTTGAACTCTTGTTTCAATATTTTGAGACAGTTCTGAATGCACCTTGGCTATATAACCCACAGTTGGCACAGAAGATTCTATACATTCTATAAATGAAAATTATAAGAAAGATTATAATTGTGGAATTTGGAAGATCTACTCAGATGAAAGAAGATCCACAAAACTTAGAGCTCAGATATTCTACCCAAGGAAGACCTTAATAGTCACACACACATCATATCTTTCTTCAAAAGTATAATTACTGAATCACCCTCACCAGCATAGCATGGCCATAGTACTTACATTGACTATGAAATAATATAGTTGTAGATATTTTTTTGCTCCCGTTGGTCATAGGAGTATGAGGAAGAGACACTGGGGATAACTCAATGAGAATTGTGGACTACCATTGCAACTAAGAACATTAAAGTGCTCAAATTTGTATTGAAGTTATTATATAATCATGCTATGCAAATTATCATAGCTCATATGATTACAAAGAAATGATCATTCTTGTAGTCTTGTCTTCAAACTCAATTCCCTCAGAACTTACGTGAGCAAATTTTGGGTCTGTGTGGTCATGATGAAGGGTGGTAGATATGATAAACCTCCCCTGCTTCTTGACTGGTGATGACTCAAGCTCATTCTTGAATCCTGAAGTGAATATAATAGTGAGAGCTTCCTGATGCAAGAACACTGTAGGAAGAGAAAACAGTGTTATACAGTCCTGGATTACAAAGATCAAGTTGACAACCTAATGGGACCTGCTGACTAATTACAACTAAGTAACCTTAGAAACTCAATGCACAGCACTGGTGAAAACTCATGCTGGTCCCCAATATTGCAATCTCTAGGGAATTCCTGGGGATAATGGAGGAAGTCCAAAAGATGTTGAATGTTTTCAAGAGGTTAGCATTGAGGTTATTATAGACATACTAAATTTTTCATTTCCCATTTTATTTCTTTCTGTTTGGACTCCCATTAGTAATTCTATTTTATTTTTATTGTTAATCTATGGAATGCGTTCTTCTGTGTATGCAGAAATCTGTTTCTTTCTTGTGTTGCAATTCAAAGGCCAGAAATTTCCCATGTCTATTCTAAAGATTCCTGAGAAAGAGATCTCTGATCTTGGGGAATCCCACTCCTGAGGCTGATCTCTGCTTCTCTAAAGGTCTCTTCCATGCTGCTGTGTCAGTGGTGACTCCACTGACACGCATAAGACACTAGAACTCCATGACAATGATCGCACCTGCTACTGGGGAAGGGGTCTCCTAGGCTCTTGAACACATCAATGAGACTATTGCACCTGCTCTGCTTAGAAAGAAACTGAATATTGTGGAACAAGAGAAGATGGAAAAACAGATCATTGACATGGACAGCACTGACAATAAATCTAAATTTGGTGTAAAGGCCATCATGTAAGTGTCCCTGTATGAAAATCTGGTACTGTGAAAAAGGGGGTTTCCCTATATCCTCACAGCACTGACTTGGCTGGAAAACCTGAAGTCATCCCATGGGTCCAACATCACAATGTGATCAACAGTGGTTCTCATGCTGGCAATGAGCTGCTCATGCAAGAGTGCATGATCCTGCCTGCAGAGTGTTCAGTTTTCTGGGAAGACATGCTCATTGGAGCAGAGGTTTACCACCTGAAGAACAGAACCATAACTCCAACCTTCTTTCTTTCTAGCTTGACACAATGTCTCACTCTGTTGCCCAGTCCAGCCTTGATCTCATGAGCACCCTACCATAGATGAGTTCTCAACAGAGAACTTGCTATGGGTTTGTGTCTCGTTAAGTGTTTCAAGTGATTCCAACACATTCTAAAATTTGAGAGTCTCACTGCCCTGGACTTCTGTGGAAAAAGCTGTGTCTAACAAGACTCCAGAATGAATCCTGAACTCATCTCCTTTCCACAACATTTTACTCTATCCTTTCCTTTCTTGACTCAATACTCAGGAATCCTCATCAAATATACTCATTATGGAAACAAAGAAAATACTGATGTAAAGCTAATTACTTGCAATTCCCAGTTTAAATTTTTTTATTTCAATATTGAGGTGCTTTCCCATAGACTTTCCCCTCCCCCAATTTCTTCTGCTTTATTTTATATGTATGGATTCTTTGCCTAAATGTTTGTCTGTGTGTCACATGCACATGGTGCACACAGAGACCAGAAGAAGGTAATGGATCTAGCCATCATATAGGTGAATAGAAATGAATCCAGGTCCTCTGAAAGAGCAGTCAGTGCTCTTAACTGCATAATCATATCTGCAACACCTCTCTCTCTCTCTTTCTCTCTCCCTCCTTCTCTCTCTCCCTCCCTCTCTCTCTCTCTCTCCCTTTCTCTCTCTCTCTCTCTCTTTCTCTCTCTCTCTCTCAAGATCAAGGACAATTTTATTTGTGTTTTAAATGAAAAAATTGCCAGGTTTGGTGGCTCATGCCTTTAATCCCAGCACTCTGGAGGCAAAGCCAAGCGGATCTCTGTGAGTTCAAGGCCAACGTGGTCTACAGAGCTAGTTCCAGTACAACCTCCAAAGCAATGCAGAGAAACCCTGTCTCAAAAAAAACAAAAAAAATGAAAATAAAAATAAAATGAAAAAAATCCAGGAGAGGTCCTCTATAAATCTCAGTAGCTTCCCGGTGTAGGAGGACACTGTAAATAGAAAGAAGCCATGACATATAAGCATCAGCATGGAGGTCAGTCACTGGTAAGTATGGAACTTTTTGGGTACAGGGTTTCTCTGTGTAGCCTGTAGAACAGGCTGGCCTCCAACTCACAGAGATCTGCCTGCCTCTGCCTCCCAAGTGCTAGGATTAAAGATGTGTGCCAGCACCACCCGGCAAGAGGGGACATTTAAGAAATGAAACCCAAACTATCATAAAAAACACAGTTGGGTTTTGGTTATTAAGCAAAAGAGACAAGAAGGGAAAAAAGAAGGGAGAAAGGGAGGAAGTGAGAGGAAAATGAAGGGAGGGAAGTGGGAGGGAGGGAGGAAGGGAAAGAGGAAGAAGTGCATAACAAGGTTACACCTCCTAATCCTTACCAAACAGTTTCATTCTTTGCTATTAAGCGTACAAAATATAAGCCTATGGGGGCCATTCCCATTCAAACCACCACATTGGTGATTACATTTCTCCTCTGGCAGTGTGCATAGCATTGCTACAAAAACTAGCACGTAGGTATGTTCTATGGGACCTCCTGAAAGTGAGAAGCTTCTGTAAGGCAAAGGACACAGTCAGCAAGACAAAAAGGCAGCCCACAGAATGAGAAAAGATATTCACTAACCCCACATCTAACAGAGGGCTGATATCCAAAATTTACAAAGAATTCAAGAAGCAAGTCTCCAAAACACCAAAGGATCCAATTAAAAAGTGGGATACAGAACTAAATAGAGAATTTTCAATAGAGGAGTCTAAAATGGCTGAGAGGCACTTAAGAAAGTGCTCAACATCCTTAGCCATCCGGGAAGTGCAAATCAAAACAACTCTGAGATACCATCTTACTCCTGTCAGAATGGCTAAAATCAAAAACACCAATGACAATTTATGCTGGAGAGGTTGTGGTGAAAGGGGACACTCCTCCACTGCTGGTGGGAGTGCCAACTTGTACAATCACTTTGGAAATCAGAATGGAGATTCCTCAGAAAAATGGGAATAAACCTACCACAAGACCCAGCTACTCCACTGTTAGGCATATAACCAAAAGATGCCCATTCACACAACAAGAATGTCTGTTCCACTATGTTCATAGCAGCATTGTTTGTAATAGCCAGAACTTGGAAGCAACCTTGATGTCCCTCAACTGAAGAGTGGATAGAGAAAATGTGGTTCATTTACACAATGGAGTACTATTCAGCAGAAAAAAAAACAATGGAATCCTGAAATTTGCAGGCAAATGGATGGCACTAAAAGGAACCATCCTGAGTGAGGTAGCCCAGTCAGAAAAATACAAACATGGCATGTACTCTCTCATATATGGATTTTAGACATAGATCTGGGGAGTGCCAGCCTACAATCCCATGGCCAGAGAGTCTGGGAAACAGAACCTTCATTCAATGGCTGATGGAAGCAGAGGCAGACTCCCACAGCTAAACACTGGGCTGAACTCAAGGAATCCAGTGACAGAGAGGGAGGACTGATTAGCAAATGGGTTAAGACTGGGCTGGTTTAACCCCCAGAAACAGCTGACCTGACAAGGGTTAGTTGTTGAATCCCAGACTGATGGCTGGGAATCCATCATGGGATCAAGACCCCCTGAATGTGGGTACCAATGAGGAGGTCCCCTGGACTCTCGGGGGAGGGTCTAGGTCCTGCCCTGGATGAAATGACAGACTATGGATACCCCCATGGAGGGCCTTACCCTCCCTGGGGAAATGAGGGGATATTGGAGGGGATGGTGGGAGGGCATGGGAGAAGGAGAGGGACCTGGAATTGACATGTGAAGCAACCTTGTTTTTAATTTAAATTTAAATTTACAAATAAAAATAAAAAAGCTACTTTGATGCTATTGGAGACAAAGATTTTAAAACATCATTAGGGTCTGTATAAAAGAATATTGAACTGTAAAACTCATAGTCCTTAATGAATATTTTGCTAGTTTAACAAGCAGTAACTATGACAATCGACCCAAAGACTTTCCCCAGGGAAAAGAAAATCCCATGGTCGGAAGGACTTCCACAATCTCCTCCTCTGCACTTGGAGTCTTCACATCTCTCAAGGCCACTCATCATTAGGACCTGTAAGTAGTAAATGCCATCTGGTCAACCACTCCAATCTAACTTCAGGATTTTCAGACATCAGAATTTCCCCCTGATTTCTTACAGCCAAAAATGAAAATGTTTTTAGAAGATACCTTTTAAATCGGTTGTTTTCAAGCATTTTGGACTCCAAACTCCTTTTGTACGTATACTAATAGTCTCAAGGGCTTTATTTACAGTGGTACAATTTATGAATGCTTAGCAAAGAAGAATTAGACCTGGAAAATTTAGACGTCTATTTGAACAAATGGGGAACCCTATATGTAAAATACTTAGCTTAAAAACCAGTTTTCTTTTTTTAATGAGGACAGATTTATCTTGCTCAGCTTCAGAAATTTCAGTGCATCATACCAGGTGATGCTAGAGCAGATTGATTTCTATCAGAGTGGCCGCAGGAGGCAGACAGGAAGTGGTCAGGAAGAAGCTGAGAGCAGCAACCATTGACTGACTTCCTCCAGCAAAATCCCACTTTGCAAAGTTTTCTTCTTTTCTGGTTCTGTGTTTTATTCTTGTGTTTTTTATTTAAATTAGAAAAAAGCTTGTTTTACATGTCAATCCCAGTTCCCTCTCCATCCCCTCCTCACCTGCCCCCCACCTTCCCCATCCCCATCCTAAGCCTAAAGCTCCCTAGAGAGGGTGAGGCCTTCCATGGGGGAATTTCAAAGTCTCTCACATCATTTGGAGCAGGGCCTAGACCCCCCCCCATGTGTCTAGGCCGAGAGAGTATCCCTCTATGTGGAATGGGCTCTGGAAGTCCATTCATAAGCTAGGGATAAATACTGATCCACTAACGGAGATCCCATAGACCGCCAAGGCCTCCTACCTGACACCCACATTCAGGGAATCTGGGTCAGTCCTATGCTGGTTTCCCAGCTTTAAGTCTGGGGTCCATGAGCTTCCCCTTGTTCAGGTCAACTGTTTCTGTGCATTTCACAAGCCCAGTCTTCACCTTTTTGCTCATCACTCCTCCCTCTCTGCAACTGGGTTCCGGGAATTCGTTTCAGTGTTTAGATAAGGGTGTCTGTCTCTGCTTCCATCAGCCACTGGATGTAGACTCTATGATGGCATATAAGGTAGTCATCAATCCCATTATTGAGGAAGGGAATTTAAGGTAGTCTCTCGACTATTGCTCAGATTGTTAGTTGTGTCATCCTTGTCGATCTCTGGAGACTTCCCTAGGACCAGATTTCTCTTTTTTTTTTGAATGATCCTTCAAAATTTACTAAGTGAATGGAGCTAGGCAGAAACAAATACATTTTATAATTCCATTTATATGAAATAATGGATCTCAGCAGACAACTATTTAAAGAAACAAAGTTGGTTAATGTCTTCCAGAGATGAGGAAGAATAGAGTGGGAAGAGGCATCTTTGGGTAGGGATTTCTTTGTTGAATGAGAAAATATTCCAAACACTATTGTTTTGAAGATTTCTACAACTCCAGGAAGTTATCAAACACCATGGAGCTACATAATTTAAAAAGGATTACATTCTCTATCCACTCTTCAGTTGCTTCCAGGTTCATGCTATTACAAATAATCCTGATATGAATGTAGTGGAAAAGACAACCTTGTTGTATGAATATACACCTTTTGGGTATATGCCTAAGAGTGGAATTGCCAGTTGTTGGTTTTGAGATTTTCTTTGGTTGACAACTGTATATCCTCTAATGAGTCTTCAACACCTGAGATTCTCTATCCTATCTCTTGTATTCTATTGGTGATACTTGCATCAGTAGTTCCTAACCGATTACCCAGCTTTTCTATTTCTAGCATCCCCTTGTTCTGTGTTTTCTTTTTTTTCTTTTATCAATTTTTATTTTAATTTTACATAGCTTGTTTTACATGTCAATCCCAGTTCCCTCTCCCTCCCCTCCTCCCGCACTCCCCTTCCCGCCCAGCCTCCCAACCTATTGCCAATTCCTTCCACATATAGGATACTTAGAGTCTGACATTTCACTCCGGGTAGGGTCCAGGCACTCCCCTAAGAGTCCAGGATGAGAAAGCATCCCTCTTAATGCTATGAGCACACGATGACGGTTTGTATTCCAGGGATAGACACTGATCCACAGCTTAGGGCCCCATAGGCTGCCCAGGCCTTCTCGCTGACACTCACATTTGGGGGGTCCAGATCAGTCCCATGCTGACCTCCCCGCTGACGGTCTGGGGTCCACTAGCGCTCCCCTATTCAGATCAGCTGTCTCTGCTGGTTTTGCAAGCCCATTCTTTGCCAATTTGCTCATCACTCCTCTCTCTGTCACTGGGTTCCTTGGGTTCAGTTCAGTGCTTAATTGGTGTGTTTGCCTCTGCTTCCATTTATCACTGGATGAAGGCTCCTGGAAGGTTATAGACATCAAGATCATTATCAGGAATGGGCATTCGAGGTGGTCTCTCCACTATTGCTTATCTGGCCAATTGGTGTTATCCCTTTAGATCACTAGAGGTCACTCTGGTGCCTGATCTGTCTTCTTACCTATGATTCCCTCTTACCCCTATTCTACACCCACCCCCTCAACCTTCCTGTTCCCCCATGACCTACTCTCTCTTCCTCTTCTCCCCCTCTCTTCTTCCAAGCTCCCACTCCCCACCCCCACCCCTCGCCGTGTTCCCCATTCATTCAGAGGATCTTGTCTCAATACTCTTCTCTTGGGTACTATGCATATAGGCATATCTTTTAGGTCCTTTCCAGTTTCCCAGACTCTCTACCAGTGGAAGTGCAGACTGACAGTATCCTGATCCATGTCTAAAATCCATATATGAGTGAATACATATCATGTTTGTCTTTTTGTGCCTGGGTTACCTCACTCAAGATGGTTTCTTCCAGTGATATCCATTTACCTGCGAATTTCAAGATTCCATTGGTTTTTTTCTGCTGAGTAATACTCTATTGTGTAAATGTACCACATTTTCTCTATCCATTCTTCAGATGAGGGGCATCTAGGTTGCTTCCAGGTTCTGGCTATTACAAAATATGCCGCTATGAACATAGTGGAGCAGATGTCCTTCTTGTATGAATTTGCCTCATTTGGATATATGCCTAAGAGTGGAATTGCTGGGTCTTGTGGTAGATTAATTCCCATTTTCCTGAGGGATCGCCATACTGATTTCCAAAGAGGCTGTACGAGTTGGCACTCCCACCAGCAGTGGAGGAGTGGTCCCCTCTCTCCACATCCTCTCCAGCATAAATTGTCATTGGTGTTTTTGATTTTAGCCATTCTGACAGGAGTAAGATGGTATCTCAGAGTTGTTTTGATTTGCATTTCCCTGATGGCTAAGGATGTTGAGCACTTTCTTAAGTGTCTCTTGGCCACTTTAGCCTCCTCTATTGAGAATTCTCTATTTAGCTCTGTACCCCACCTTTTAATTGGATCCTATGGTGTTTTGGAGACTTGTTTCTTGAGTTCTTTGTAAATTATGGAGGTTAGCCCTCTGTCAGATGTACGGTTAGTGAATATCTTTTCCCATTCTGTGCACTGCCTTTTTGTCTTATTGACTGTGTCCTTTGCCATACAGAAGCTTTTTAGTTTCATGAGGTCCCATTTGTTAATTGTCGATCTCAGTGTCTGTGCCACTGGTGTTATGTTTAGGAAGTGGTCTCCTGTGCCAACTTGTTGAAGAGTATGTCCCACTTTCTCTTCTAAAAGTTTCAGTGTGGCTGGATTTATGTTGAGATCTTTGATCCATTTGGACTTAAGTTTTGTACAAGGCGATAAACATAAATCTATCTGCAGTCTCCTGCATACCAGGACCCAGTTATGCCAGCACCATTTGTTGAAGATGCTTTCTTTTTTCCATTGTACAGTTTTAGCTTCTTTGTCAAAAATCAAGTGTTCATAGGTGTGCGGGTTAAAATTAGGGCTTTCAATTCCCTTCCATTGGTCTACCTGCCTTTTTTGTGCCAATACCAAGCTGTTTTCAGGACTATAGCTCTATAATAGAGCTTGAAGTCAGGTATGGTGATGCCTCCTGAAGTTCCTCTATTGTATAGGGTTGTTTTGACTATCCTGGGCCTTTTGTTTTTCCATATAAAGTTGATTAATGTTCTTTCCAGGTCCTTGAAGAATTGTGATGGAATTTTGATAGGGATTGCATTGAATCTGTAGACTGCTTTTGGCAAGATTGCCATTTTTATTATGTTGATCCTACCAATCCAAGAGCATGGGAGATCTTTCCATTTTCTGGTATCTTCTTTGATTTCTGTCTTTAAAGGCACAAGGTTCGTGATATACAGGTCTTTCACTTCCTTGGTTAACATTATCCCCAGACATGTGATGCTGTTTTTGGCTATTGTAAAGGGTGACGATTCTCTGATTTCTTTCTCAGTCACTTCATCATCTGTATATCATAGGGCCACTGATTTTTTTGAGTTTACCTTGTATCCTACCACATTGCTGAAGGTGTTTATCAGTTCTAGGAGTAACCTTGCGGAGTTTTTTGGGTCACTTATGTAAACTATCATATCATCTGCAAGTAATGAAAGTTTGACTTCTTCTTTTCCTATTTGTATCCCCTTTATCTCCTTTTGTTGTCTTATTGCTGTAGCTAGAATTTCAAGTACAATATTGAAGAGATATGGAGAGAGTGGACAGCATTGTCTTGTTCCTAATTTTAGAGGAATTGCTTTGAGTTTCTCTCCATTTAGTTTGATGTTAACTGTTGGTTTAATGTATATTGCATTTATTATATTCAGGTACGTTCCTGTTATCACTGATCTCTCTAGGACCTTTATCATTAAGGGGTGCTGGATTTTGTCAAAGGCTTTTTCAGCATCTAGTGAGATGATCATGTGGTTTTTCTTTCACAGTTTGTTAATATTGTGGATTACATTGATAGATTTTCTAATGTTGAACCATCCCTGCATTCCTGGGATGAAGCCTACTTGATCATGGTGGATGATTTTTCTGATGTGTTCTTGAATCCGGTTTGCGAGTATTTTATTGAGTATTTTTGCATCGATGTTCATGAGGGAAATTGTTCTACAGTTCTCTTTCTTAGTTGTGTCTTTGTGTGGCTTGGGTATCAAGGTAATTGTAGCCTCATAGAAAGAGTTTGGCAGTGAGCCTCCTGCTTCAATTGTGTGGAATACTTTGAGGAGTATTGGAATTGGCTCTTCTTTGAATTTCTGGTATAATTCTGCACTGAAGCCATCTGGGCCTGTGCTTTTTTTGTTTGGGAGACTTTTGATGACTGCTTCTATTTCATTAGTGGTTATAGGTCTGTTTCGATTGTTTATCTGCTCCAGATTTAGTTTTGGCAAATGATATCTATCCAGGAAATTGTTCTTTTACTTTAAATTTTCAAATTTTGTGGAGTACAGATTTTCAAAGTATGCCCTGATGATTCTCTGGATTTCCTCAGAGTCCGTTGTTATGTCCCCTTTTTCATATCTGATTTTGTTAAATAGCATGCTCTCTCTCTGTCTTTTGGTTAGTTTGGACAGAGGTTTGTCTATTTTGTTGATTTTCTCAAAGAACCAACTCTTTGTTTCATTGATTCTACTCAGTGTTTTCCCAGTTTCTACTTGATTGATTTCCGCACTCAATTTGATTGTTCCTGGCGTCTGCTCCTCCTGGGGGAGTTTGCTTCTTTTTGTTCTAGAACATTCAGCTGTGCTATTAATTCTCTAGTATGACTGTTCTCCAGTTTTTTCATGTGGGCACTTAGTGCTATAAACTTTCCTCTCAGCACTGCTTTCAAAGTGTCCCATAAGTTTGTGTATGTTGTGTCTTCATTCTCATTGAAATCAAGGATGTCTTTAATTTCTTTTTTTATTTCTTCGTTTACCCAGGGATGGTGCAATTGTACATTGTTCAATCTCCTTGAGTTTGTAGGCTTTCCGCGATTTGTGTTATTGTTGAATTCTAATGTTAATGCATGGTGGTCTGATAAGATACAGGGGGTTATTCCAATTTTTTTGTATCTGTGGAGATTTGCTATGTTACCTATTATGTGGTCAATTTTAGAGAAGGTTCCATGTGGTACAGAGAAGAAGGTATATCCCTTTGTATTTGGGTGGAATATTCTATAGATGTCTGTTAAACCCAGTTGGGTCATAACTTCTATTAGTTCTTTTGTTTCTTTGTTAAGTTTCTGTCTGGAGGTCCTGTCTAGCGGTGAGAGCGGAGTGTTGAAGTCTCCTACTATTAGTGTGTGAGTTTTTATGTGCATTTTGAGCTTTAGTAATGTTTCTTTCACGAATGTAGGTGCCTTTGTATTGGGGGCGTAGATGTTTAAAATTGAGACTTCATCTTGATGTACTTTCCCTTTGATGAATATGAAGTGTCCTTCTTCATCTCTTTTTTATTTTAATTTGAAGTCTAATTTGTTAGATATTAGTATTGCTACATCTGCTTGTTTCTTGGGACTGTTTGATTGGAAGATCTTTTTCCAACCCTTTACTCTGAGATAACGTCTGTCTTTGATGTTGAGATGTTTTTCTTGTATGCAGCAGAAGGAAGGGTTCTGTCTTCGTATCCATTCTGCTAGTCTGTGTCTTTTTATAGGCAAGTTGAGGCCGTTGACATTGAGGGATATTAATGACCATTGATTGATGATTCTTGTTTGTGCTTGATTTATCGGTAGTGAAGTTATTTTGTGTAGTTTCTCTTCCCTTTTTCTTTTGGTGTTTTGTAAAGTGGAATTATATATTGCCTGTGTCTTTGTGAATGTAGTTATCTTCCTTGGATCTAGGTTTTCCTTCTAGCATTTTCTGTAGAGCTGGATTCATGGATACGTATTGTTTAAATCTGGCTTTGTCAGGGAATATTTTGTTTTCTCCATCTATGGTAATTAAAAGCTTTGCTGGATATAGTAGTCTGGGCTGGCATCCTTGTTCCCTTAGCTTTTGTAGGACATCTGTCCAGGATCTGCTGGCTTTCATCGTTTCCATTGAGAAGTCAGGTGTAATTCGGATAGGTCTGCCTTTGTATGTTACTTGGCCTTTTTCTTTAGCTGCTCTTAATATTTTCTCTTTACTCTATAGGTTTGATGTTTTGATTATTATATGGCAAGGTGACTTATTTTTCTGGTCCAGGCTATTTGGTGTTCTGTAAGATTCTTGTATTTTCATAGGCATATCTTTCTTTAGGTTAGGGAAGTTTTCTTCTATGATTTTGTTGAATATGTTTTCTGTACCTTTGAGTTGTATTTCTTGGCCTTCTTCTATACCTATTATTCTCAGGTTTGGCTTCTACACGGTGTCCCATATTTCCTGGATATTTTGTGTTAAGGATTTGTTGGTTTTGAGATT